TCACCGTGCTGTTCTAAAATGTTACTATTTGCACTCAGTTTTCAAGAATTATTTCATATTTTCTTATAATCTGCACTATCAGTACATTTTTTGTTCAATCAATTCATTTGCTTTTTTCTTTTGTACCTGCTTTAGTATCATCCTTAAATCACACTGAAGCAGGTGTGGTGGTAATACCTGTAATACCAGCACTCAGGAGGCTGAGGCAGGAGAATCATCATAAACTCAAAGCCAGCCTGTACTATACAGTGAGGCCCCATTTCAAAAACAAAATTTTAAACTAATATTCATAAAATCAGAGGTCACCATGTTTATTTTCTAATAAGTGCACATTAAAAGGAATTTATACTCTTAAATTTTTTTTTATTTTAAAGAGAATAAAACCAAACAGAACAAAGCAGACTAGAACAATGCAATCAACACAAGATTTAAATATGAGACAACAGAAAATCAACACTGGCTACCATAATATCTCTTGTTTTCTTCAAAATAGTTGTCCGTATCTTCACACAGTGAATTCAATCAAGACAAAATAGTATAAAACTGTTCAAAAGAATGAAAGCATTACAAGCCTTCAAAACCAGACAATAGGAAAATCAACACTGGCTACCATAATGTTTCTTGCTCTCTTCAAAATAGCTGTCCATACCTTCACACATATTGAAATTAAATAATACAAAACAGACTAAAACCAATCAAAAGAAGAATAAAAGCATCACTGGACTTCACAACAAGATGATGGGAAATCAGCAGTATCTTGTTTTCTTCAAAGTAGCTGTTCATACCATCAGAATCAATTCTTGTAAATCATAGAATCAATTCTTGTAAACTCTTTAAGGGCAAGTTCTAGGCATGTATAAGCCTATACATGTACTTTTATGCTTTCTGTATTACAGGAAAAAATAAAACAAAACAAGTTACCAGAAAAGAGACAAATAGATAACCATAACCAAGAGCCCAAAACAATGACAATACAGGCCTTCAGAACAAGGTGGTAGTTATTTTACATAGTGATCTTCAGGAGAGATGCTTAGATTATCAGATACAAACATGCAAAATTGATCTAATTCTATGAATGTTAATTATTTTATTCCAAAACTAATAGAATTAGCAGCACAATCACCTTAGCTATCTTAATACTTTTTAAATTTTCTAAAGCTTTATGTCTAATATGGCTGTAAATATTGCTAAAGAAGAAGACCTCAAAGTATAGGCAAGTAATTGAGACTGAACAGGATAAGAAATGAAATTCAACAAAGTTTTTGACAAATGTTATTTGATTCTTTATCAAATTTACCATTACTGCTCCTAAAAAGTGAGCTACTGATGATAACTCAGGATGAGGTGGGAATTATTTTGAAAATTCTTACAATAAATGAGGTCACCTGGAAGAATAGATTTTCAAGAAAAATTCATGTTTGGGATTTAAAAAAATCTGTCAGTCTAGCAACCTGTGTTTGGACATTGGCACAACCTGCAGCTCAGAATGTTTCTGTGGTGGTGTGTCTGTCGTGTGGTGTAACAGTTTATAGTCTAAACTGGCCTCGAACTTATAATATTTTGTCTGAGTCTCCCAAACGCTGGATTACAGGTATTTGCTATGATATCAGGCCTGTGTGCTTCAGAAATAGTTTTTTTAAAAGCCAGATTTTAAGCTCACACATAACCCTAGCTGTAGTTAACGTGTTGATGACATGACACAACTTTAATGGTTGAATTTCAAGTAGTGTAACCTCAAGTGACCCTTCCTGCCCTTCCCCCACCACTGAGATTCTTCCAGGGCATCTAATGCACAGGGAACCCATCACGCTCTCATCCAAAACATCTTGCACTGCAGTCCTCATGCTCAAATGTCTAAGAGACAAACATCAGCAAAGCTTTGCATATGTACAGATCTGCTCTGTTTTTAATGCTAAATTTCAGAGATGCCAGAACCATTTATATACTGAGACTATCCAGGACCTGAGGTAGAATGCGCTGTGTGCAACTATTTCTAATCAGGGAGTTCAAAAGCACACTAGAATACTCGGCAGTGGAGGAAGCATCACAGTGAACCCATGGTTTATTTTTTTCTGAAGATGTTTTTGGGGGGTCTTGAGGAATCACCTTTTGCATTATTCCTTCAACTGTCTCTATCATGTACTTCCTTTTAGGGAACATCTGAGGAGACCTGCTGTCCAGGGAGCACTGCTCTAAGGAGATGTCGTTGTCTGAGGATAACACAAATCTAAGCAATATAATACAAGAGCTTATCTTCATCTTAAAGACTGTACTTTGTGCTTTGTAATTTCCCTAAATAATTAAGTTGTAAACCTTTATGAGTCTCTGCTTATTCAACTTCATAACCCCCTTTGTGACTATTGAATAATACAAAATTTGATTCATTATTTAGAAATCTGAGTTGATGCAGTAATGAACTAGGTATTACATTTAACCGAGACTGCCAATACTGTAGAGCATGCCAATTTCATGTGATGTCAGACCTAAGTGAATTTCTATGCTAGCTTAAAAATCAAAAGAAAGACAAAGGATGCCATTTCTAAAGTGGGAGCAATCACTGTGTCAGTTACTGATGACCCTGGACGTGACCCTTAGATTTTAGAAAGCACAGATTGCTTTTGAACCAAATGCTGTGAGCCTGAGCACTCCTGCTGTAAACGCCTCTCACCCTCCATCGTGCCTGTGCAATCCCTCCTGAAAGGTGGAGAAACCTGTACTAGCTGTCTGGGTGGCATCAGGTATAGCTGACATCTCCTCTATGTATTTTAGAACTAAATATTACTGCCCCCTTGACTCCTGACCCCGTAGAAAAACTGTCACCTTCTTCCAAAGCATTCACTAAGTAAAAAGTCAATAGGAGATAAGTGATGATGAGGAAAATGTCTTGTGATTAATGCTACGGTTTAGGCTGTTGTGATTCGTCATGGAAAAAAACAGCTCAACTTCCTGCCCCAGAAGCACGGTATCTTAACAGCAAATGCCAGCCTGAAGCCCTATAGGAAGGAACAGTTGGGCGGTGTTAAAAGCTGCCTATTGATCTGTGCCCCTACTGAAAGCCATGTGCTGATGTAAATGAAAATGTGTCAAGAGCTGATATCGATTTTTTTTTTTAAACAGACCATCTCTGGGGAAAAACCACTAGCCATACTACTGCTCTTGTCTATGAGTGAAGGAAGGCTCCTTTCCGCAAGACTACCCAGGTCCAGGCATCAAATTTTTCTCTTTAACTGAGATGTGGTAGGATGCCAGGCTCTTGTCGACAATCTCTGCTTGGTGAAAACGGTCCAGAATACCTGTTGGTGGGAATAAGTGGGAAAGGGAATGTAAAGTGTATGTTTCTAAGGGATGCAGATGGGTGAGGCTATATGGCCCTTCCCAGCTACCTGCACACTGGTCCGTTTGTGCATGGTCCATAACACAGGCGAGGGCTGAAAGCCAGGAATTTGTAATAAGCCAGTATAGAAGACTTTCTCTATTTTTAGAAAGTCCTATCAAAGATGACCACAGCAGAGGATAAGATGTGAAATATACCAGACTGTGAAACATGAGGACGGGGCTTTTTTCTCCTTCAACTTGTGAAAAGCTACCAACTTCGTCCTGCTCTCTTGCAAACAGCTCCCTGAGCTGTTCCTTTTTCATAGCCCACAGTGCTTATAAATGTGGAGTAACAATATAAGATATAAGAAAAGGCCAGGAGCCATAATATCGTGGTGCTTTGGCTCACATGTGAGGATTTTAGCTGTTTAGGTTGGCTAAATTTCCTAAGTCGGTGGAGGTCAGGCGTGGACTTGAGTATTAAGGCAATAAGAATTAAAGAGAATAGAAGGCATCACCTGCCGAAATATGTGGATTACTTGAGAAAACCATAATACACTGATAAGGGAAACATTCCTTCCCTCCATGGTAGCTGAGAGACCTAAATCCGCTTAGCTTGACCCACTAGCCTTAGGCAAAACGTAACATGATGAGAAGTTCATTTTTCAAAATGATTAATCTCGTGTTGATTACTCGGTGAGTTCAGTGATATTCTGGAATGCATGATCTGTTTAATTTATCCTTGAGATTAAAGTAAAAATGCACTGAGGTAGAAATTAAGAGGACGGAGACTATGGTGAGAAGGTAATTCTGTTCTGAATCATCTACACTAAAATGTAGACATAGGTAGCGAAATTTTTCAGAAGGTTTATTCCTTTACTACTAACAGGGAGGACAAATCAGGTAACACATACTCCAAGTAATTGGAACTTTTTAATTTGGGCTACTGACTTAAGATGCTTATTAATTGGTGAAAACGGTCCAGAATACCTGTTGGTGGTGATTTTAAGATCTGTAGATGTCTCTAGCCTGCAGTTTTATGGGTGGGCCAAGCCTGCAGACCATCCTGAGGCATGGATGTGGGCTTTCAGGCAGCCTCACTGAGTGAAGAGGAATCTTCCTGGGCCACATATAACATCTGTAATCCACTTAGTTTACCAAAGTAACGAAATATACTTTTAAAACTTTTCATTATATCATTTACAAGGAGGGCAGCTGAGTGTGCTGGCCATCGGCTATAATCCTAGCACTCGGGAGGCTGAGGCAGGAGAAATGGCTGTGAGTCCAGGCCAACCTGACCTGCATAGTGAGACCCAGTCTCAAAAAAAAACAACAACAACAAAAGAAGGTAACATAAACATGAAACCAGTAGGATATTTGCCTTACTTTTGTGAAAAGTATGTGTCAATATCTGCTTCAATGGAAATAGTTACCGAAAGTTTAACAATTAAATAAGGAAACTTACATGTTTGCCCGATGACAATAAGCACCTGTCTTGCCAGGCACACCCTCTTGGGGGTGGTTGAAATGGTACCACTGAGAAGTGCTTTGCTCACCGAGTCACAGTCAGCTCTGCTCCACTCTGGATAATCCCTGAATCCCCTTGTTATACCCAGTCTTGGCTTGAGCATTACACAATGAAGTCCTGAAAAAGATCTCTAAAAATTCCATGACGCTGTTCACAGTTCGCAGTCTCAAGGAGCTTGATCAGCAGCTGTCCAGAGTGGAACGCAGCCTGTCCACCCACCCACCATACGGCCTGCTCCCCAGTGTCCTGGAGGCCACACAAGAGCAGCTCTACAATGTGAGCAGAACAGAGACGTTTGCCGCAATGACCTATAGATGGCTCTGGACTACCCATTGTCCTATCATGCCTTGTGTTGTTGGTAGGTATTTATTTAACTTTGAAATTAGAGCCCACACATTGTAGTTGTGTCACCAACAGTGCACAGCTTTATAAACGCTCAAGAGAAATTGCACTAGTATACATGCATGTGTGTACTCATGTGTACGTGTGCTTGTGTACATGTATACGGATAAGCTAACCTCTCTAGGGGATTGTGTAGTCACTTTTCATGCTGAAGCCAAGGATACACATTCCAGTGCCCTTACAGAGTTGTCATTTTATGATAAGCTTCCATTAACTCAAAAATGTTATTTGGAATAAATGTAGAAGTTTTTCCTTTCCTCATATGGTTTGCACAAATGTTTAATATGCCCATTTGTCAAGTAATTTCTAGTGTCTTCCTCTCAAGCATATAAATATCTTCTCCAAATATATTTACATATAATATGTATGCATTATATATATTTGAGTCAGTAAGAGAAAAAACTTTGAGAGTGACAAAGTCGGGAAATATAGATAGTACCAGCTACATGTAACATAACATCAAAATATCATTTGTCATACATTTGTCTGTTTCCAGATTTTGCAGCTGTCACATTTTCTGGCCCAAATATTCCAAGTTTAGCAAACTATTTTAATAACTTTATCACATTGATTATTGCAAATGTTTTAGTACACTCTCACCTGCTTAGTAAAAGTCTAATTTGCAAAGCATTTGCTATGTTTAATTTCCAACCTTTTCTTTCAAAAGTGTCTACTTTTAGAAGTACTAGAGAAGAATACAAAAAATAGATGTTTTTGAGGGGAGAAGTAGGAAAAACATACACATTTATAAACCTAAAATTAAGAATGCATTATTTGCCAGCAATAAAATTTCTTAGTAGTCTTTTTAGAAGTAGAATTAAAATCTATATTTAAATTGGGAATTTTTGTTGGGAAGTAACTGTCTTAGAAAAAATGAAAATATAAACACTTGTCTGATACCAAGAAAAAGGAAAAAGTATAAGAAAGTATCTTCATTACTTTTCTCATTGCTGAGACAAAATACCTGGTACCCAAAGTTAAAAGGGGAAAAGGTATATTTAGATCACAGTTTGCAAAGATTTCAATCAGCTGGTTCCAAGGTGGCATGGCACAGCGGACGGGCATTGCAGAGGAGAAACAGTTCATAGCAGGCAAAGGACAGCAAAAGCAAGCAAGGAGTAAGACAAGCTTCTTTCTAGCCCTTATATTGTATCCAAACCACCAGGATTAGAGTAATGCAAATTAATCATTAGACTCAGTCAGTAGTCCTATACACTTAATTCTAGCACTCTGAATCCTAGCATTGTACCATGAATCCAGCACACACTCTAGATTCCAGCTGCCTCTGAAAAAAGCCCCATCTATGACTGCTTGAGGCTTTGGGGGAACATCTAGACATAACATTCCATCCCTGGTCTCCCAGTGATGCATGCATATCTCCTTATACAAAAAGTATTTAGTCCATCTCCAAGCATTCACAGAGTCCTGATGGTTTCAGCATTGCAGAAAGATCACAATCTGAAGTCTCCTCCAAAATTTAAGAAAAACTCTTACCTGCAAACCCCTGCACAAATGCAATGAAGGTTAAACACTTGTTCAGTAGAACTAGATAAACAGGACTCTTCCAAAAGGTACAAATAGGTGTATAGAGAGAAATGGGACCAAAGCAAGTCCAAAATCTGCCAGCACAAACATTAAGTCCTGTAGCTTTATGTACAACATCTGAGGCAATCTGTGACTAGATGCGAACTCCAAAGGGCTTGGGTATCTCTGTCCCTATGGCATTACAAGTGGCATAGCTCCTTCTTTTTTAGGCTGGCTCTACTCCCTCCTTAGAGTTTTCCTCAGGTGACCCAAGGTCTGTACATTTCTGGAGTCTCCACTGCACTTTGGCTTCACACACTGCCTCGTTAGAACCTTGCCTCCCAGACCTTTTCCTGAAATCTTGGTAGAAACCTTCCTGACCCCACAACTCTTGCATTCTGCATTCACCTAAAATCAGCAAGACATGGATGATGCCAAGTGTGCTGCCAGCTGGAGCAGTACCAGGTTTCCTTCTCTTTTGTCTGTAGAGGCAAGTGCCTGTGAACCATATTCCAAGGAACAACTTCCCATTCTGGAGCATGGTGTTTTGGGGCTCTCTTCTCGGAGTGAAGTCTTTCGCTTTGCAACTCTGAGGCTGCAAAGACTGGAGTTCTGTTCCTTCTTGTGTTTTCCTCAGACCATTTTTTCTGTTGTCCTCATCTGAAATACTTGACTTTTGCTTGTGAGTCTTTTCAGTAACCAATTTCTCCCTTGTTCCATCTGTTCAACCTGCAACTTTACCACAGTTTCCTTCTGGCCAAATTCACAACATTTTGAATCATTCTGCTAGGCTCTTTCCTCTTGATTCTCAACATAAATCTATCTTAAAAGCCCCCAACAGTAACTATGGCACTGCCTCAACATTGCACTACCTTGAAATCTCTTCTGCAAGATTACTTAGTTCACCACTTTTAATCCAAATCCCAGGCAAAGTCTCTGCACCTAAGCAAAATGCGGACAAACTTAATGCCATGCCATGACACATATCTGGAGTCCAGCAGCCAAAACGGGTCCTTCTTCCCAGGAGAAACCTCCCAACCCTGGTATTTACCAGCTGAATTTCTTTCAGCCTTCTGGTCTTCTAAGTTCTGATGAGAATCTCCCATAAAATACAGCCCAAAGCATTCCAGTTCTACTTTTCAGCCACATCTCCAAATCTTTCCTAACTGCTCCCCTTTCCACAATCCAGTCCCACAGGTTCCTAAGCTACATTTCAGGTACAGTCGCAGCAATGACTTCATTCCCTGGTAACCAATTCTGTCTTAGTTATTTTTCTCATTGCTAAAGCAAAATACCCAACACTCAAGGTTAAAGGGGATAAGATTTGTTTAACTCACAGTTTGCAAATATTTCAACTGATAATCAGCCAGCTGTGAGGTAGGGTGACCTGGCAGTTAGGCATTGTAGAGGGAAAACAGTTCATGGAAGGCAGAAGACAGCAAAAGTAAGCAAGGAGCAAGACAAGCTTCTTTCTGTCCCTTATACTGATTGTGTCCAGGCTACCAGGATTAGAGTAATGCTGAATCAATCACTGGACTCAATCAGTAACCATGCACACTTAATTCTAACACTCTTAATCCTGGAATTGTATCATGAATTCAGCACACACTCTGTATTCAGCCATCTCTGAAAAAGTCCAGCCTATGACTGCATAAGGCTTTGGGGGAATTTCTAGGCACAGCCATAACATGAAGGAGAGTTATGCAAAATTGTTTTTCTTTCTCATTTCCTATACCTCTCACCCCAAATAATTCTGATTATTTTGATTCAAATAGCTAATTTTTTCAGAGCACAAAATAGTTCTATGTGCAATCTTCATGTATTTATGCTAGAGCATTTGACAAGAATAGAACCAAGTGAGAAATATGTAACACAGTGTTCTTGTAATTTGAAAGTATCTGCAAATCTATGGAAACATAAATCACAGTGAACTCTATAAAGGATGCTAAATACCCAATATTTCCTTCCCTAGTAATAATGCTTTTATCATAAACATGATTTAATGTTACAGGGAAAAACTTTTCAGACATCTTTCATTTTACGTGTCTTAGAAAAATAAATTAGAAATATTCTTATAAGTTAACCTTTTTCTTCAAGCTTTTCATGGAATCCTTTAGTAATACAGGAGTATTCACAATTTAAATTTCTAAGCTAAATATCTGCTGTATTGGGTATAACATCAGTTGTATATAAATATACCTCGATATATTGATACTGTATAGATGTGTAGATATATTTCATGCTAACAAATAATAATCCATTAATGTGGTGGAATACTGCAGACAATAAAAATTTTAATCTTTTTTGGTTCTCAGGAATGAAAGTAATCAGGAAACGAGATGAAATTCTCTCTTTCCTCTTTTGTTAAGCCAAGAAAATTGAGTGCAATGAAGCACAGCCCACCTTTATCAGGTGCATATTTACATTTGCATGGCTAACTTACTCACCATAAAAACATTTTTAACTCTAGCAAAACTTGAAATAATAAAGCTACATTCTCTGGCTTTATCCAGACATTAGAAAGTTAATGCGAGTAAGGCATATAGTTTACATTACTGAACATTTTTTTCCTTATTCTCTTCCTCTTGCTGTGTCATTTAGACCTCCCTGCAATTGTGGAACATGAGGGAGCCCCCTAGTGGCAACTGCGTATCTAGTACACTTTCTAACTACAGACCAAAGATGCTTCTTTTCCGAATTACTCGTTCTAGTTTTGATACCTAGGCATGTTTTTCCCTAATTTATGAGCCAAGATAGGATTCTTTTCATATCTCTCATACGTTGTGCAAGTTTCGGCCATCTTTTTTTTTTTTTTTATTTAAGAGGAAAAAGAGAAAAACACAAAACAAACCAAAGCGGCGTAAGGGTACACGCAATACAGAACTACAAAACAAAACAAAACAAAACAAAACAAAAAACCATAACAGTAAGAAATTACCTGCTAGTAGATTACACACTATTTTCTTGAAAATAGTTCCTCAAATCACAGTATCAAAGAACACAAGGTGGACATTCAAACAGGGAGACTGCAAACAGCTGTGTTCAATGTTCCAAAAACATTGATAAAGTCAGCTATTTAACACCCCCAAACACACTTGCTGTTATATCCGTTAGAGCTCCTTTTCTTTTTTTTTTTTCCCTCTCTTTTTTACAACAAAATTTACACATCTTGGATTTTATTACTCCTTAGTGCTTATTACTTTCTTTGGGGGGGGGGGGAAGAATACAGTCAAATATGGCAAAACAAAGCTGTCAGTCAATACCAAGGATAGACGTAGCACATGGTGTAGAACAGAGTACAAGTTTATCAACAATGGTTATCAACGTTGTCCCTTGTTTCCTTAAAAAGAATTGTCTATCTTATTAGATATCATAAAGTTGGACAAAACAGTAGAGAACAAGACCAATAAAACTTAGGCGTTGTAAACATTA